AGGGTAGGGGAGTGCTACCCCGATCTAGAACCGATACTACTTATTCAGAACTGGAATGTCTGAGATCATTTAGCTCAGCTCTCCCACTTTACAGATGAAGAAACTGAGGCACAGAGGAATCAGGTGATATCTTAAATGAGTGCTAGGGTCAGCAGGTGCTGGGTTCCCTCATGGCTGATCATGGTTTGGGTCCTGGGCCTGACGGCTTAAGAATCACACCAGTTGGGTGTGCATGTGTGCCCACAATTCTAAGAGGAGAAGGGATTGTACCGTGGCCAATCCCCCTGGGGAATGATTTCTCACTTCTCCCCTCTGTGTCTCTCTCTAGCAAGCACAGGTACCCTATAGCAAAAACCTAAAAACAAAACAAAACAAAAACAAAAACAGAGTGCCAGAGCTGGGACAAGAACTCATCATGTCTCTTGATTTCTGGCTCAGTGACTTTGATGCCCTTGACTGACAGCTCTGCAGATGGAAAGGCATTTCAGGCTGGCAGAGAAGAGCAGAATGGTAACACCAGGCAGATGGGAGCGGGTGGAGGGGGGCAGCTTGTAGGAAATGGAAAGGCTGTTAAGGGCCAAAATATCCATTCCTGCTCCTGCTGGCCATGTCCTGAGGAAAATTATGACTCCCAAATGTTTTCTTTTCTGTTTTTTTAATTTTGCCAGAGGTCATATGTGCTCATTGGAGAGAGAGAGGAGAGAAAGAGACAGAAGTGAGAAAGCAGCTCTCATGGGAATGGTCACATCTCAACCCCTTCTCCTCCTTTCTGGACTCTGGACACACATGCACATGTATCCTGTACGTCCCTCAAACCTTCTGGTCTAGGACTTGGGCCCTGCAGTCAGCCATGTGGGATCCAGCTGCCCCAACCACATGCCACTAGATGGCCCCCACCAAATGTTCCTTTTTTAGGTTTTTGCCATAGGGCACATGCACTTGCTAGAGACAGAGGGAAAGTGAGAAATCACTTCCCAGGGGGGTGGCCACACTGAAATCCCTTCTCCTCTTTTTACCTGCTGGGATTTGGGGCACGCATGCACATGCACTGAGCATGAGAGTCAGCCACCGGGTCTGGGACTCAAACACATTCGGCCATTGGAAGCCCAGAGCCACCTGCTGGCCCCCCAAATGTTTCATAATAGAGGCATAAACAGTTATACAGAAGAACCTCATGATGGATTGACTAAAGGCTGTGAGATGTCATTTATACCTAATGACTAAGCAGCCCTAGTTATCCAGGCAAACAAACCAGCTCTTTAACCTCACTCTTTCCTTTCCTTTTAAATAGTTGGAAACCTTCCTGCCATTCCTTCCTTCTCACTGGGTTTGTGACTGTCTTTGTAGTCAGGGACACCTACAGCTTTGAATCTACCTGCCCATTCCTTTTAAGTTCTGAAGCAAAGGAAAATGAAGAAGATGAAATACTTGGGCAATATGAATGGCACGAAGTGTTTTGATATTCTGAAAGGAGCTATGGGGGAGAACAATGAGCAACTTCAAGCGTCATGAGTCAACATTCTGTTTATCCCTCTATTGTGAGAGATACCCGCCTCTACTTCTTTTGTGAAGCATGACCATTTGTTAGTTTTAGTAAGACATTTCTCTGCCCACTGGTAAGGAAACAGGAAGGCATTTACTGTACTCTTATCTAGAATGTGAAAAGTTGCCTTTTTCTTCTTTGTCTCTTTGTTTTTAGTGTCATCCATGATCACAGGGTTCGGGGTAGAAGGGGACTGTGGAGGAACATCCACCTCCCTATCCCTTCCCTTGCAGGAACCACCTTCCCAGCATCCCTGCCAGTGGTTCACATGCCTCTCCTCTGAATCCCCAGGGTGAGATGCCACCTCTGTGGAAGCACTCACTTCATTCTGCTTTAAATTACAGTTATTTGAGGACTTGTCTTAAAGTCTCAGTTGTAAGTCCCTGAGGACAGGAGGTAGGTGGGCAGGAATCTGTCCTCTTTGATCTCCCACAGGCCCCAAAACAGTCGGGCCTGCTCCATAAATATTTGAATGAGTGGCAAGGTGTTAACAGTCTCCTGAGGCAGCCACAGTGGGACATCTCAAATCGCTAGAAAGTTCTTCCTAATTGTGAGCAGAAATACACTTCCCTGTGTTCCCCAGGTGGGAGGGGAGTGTAAATAGGCAGTAATGACGAAAGTCTGGGCATCTAGGGAAAGGACCTGGGGACAGGGTAATGCCCTGCTCTTACTGCTTTTCTTACATACCATCTGGTCATAGCAAAAGGCCTTCCTCCAGAACAGGAAAACCTAAGACCCTGGATAGATCTGGATAAACAGAGGGGAAGGAGTTAGGATTCCAGGATTTGAATCCAGTTTGGGAGAATGGGACAGCTATATTAGATGCTGTTCATGTCCTAACCATATCCCCTTGGCCGACTGGAGGGCTTCTGCAAATGATTCCTATATAAGCTGACAGCTTGCTACATTTCTCTGCCACAGTGACTCTCTGATCTCATAAGTGTGCTTTGCCTGTAGGAGTCAGGCTGGAAATTCCAGGGACTCCTTTTAGGAGGAAATTTCAACCAATGAGCAATGGGATTTAATGCATAAATAGTCCAAATTCCTTACCCCTCAGTGGAGCAGCTTGGAGATGTGTTTTATAGAGTCTTTCAAAAGGTCTCAAAAGGGTTGCGGGCCCCAGTTGGCCAAAGCATTAGCCCACTAATTTACACACCTTTTATTATTTTCCTGCCTTTTTAACTTCCTCTCTCCCTTACCGTGCTGGGGAAAATGCCCAGATAAACAATATACCCCAAATCCTTATCTCAAGGCCTGATTTGGGGAGAACCCAAATGAAAGCAGTGACACAAGCAGGAAGCTTTGGAAAGCTCAATGCTATTCCCTAGTAAAACAAACTATTAAATTCAGTGTATGCTCCCCCACCCCTCCCCCTGTATTTCTAAGTGTAGAGCAGGTTTTTCTATCAGTTCTATAGACAGAATTTAATTTTAAGTAGATTATGTATCCTAACTCAGAAAGCAAGGCTGATGATTCCTAAATCTTTGGAGGATAGTTATTTCATGTAACAACAGTCAGTTACTCTAGCTCCATTCATGAAATGTATTATGTCAGAAAGGTCTTAGGCCAGACTAAAAAGAGAAGTTACACCTGGGGGTCATTAGACATCAGGATGGATTTGTGTTCAGGTACTTCAAGTAACCTTTCAAACATCCACAGAGACCTTTTAAATCAACAGTGTCCTTATCAAACTGGCCTAGGTTTGGGATGAAGTGCTCGGAGGTTGGAGACAGTTAAGATGAATGGCAATGAGGAAGTAGAAGAGGAAAATAACCTTCAATAAATCTACCCAGAATTAATGAACTACACCTGAGCTAATAGAACCTAGAGAAAATGCTGTTAGTGAAGAATATTTATTATCATTGGGGAGGATTTGTAACAAAGAACGAAGGTGTGTGCGTAACCTGCCTCCCTAGGCTTCCTTCAGGCTGCACTGTGTGATTCAGAGAAGCTCAAGGTGAATGCCACATCGCTCCCTGATTGTTTTGACACCTCACACAATTAATAGGTGGTAGCAGTTAAAAATAACCATGATCACTACTATCTTGTGGTTTGAGGGTTTTTCTTTTGTCTTGTTCCTTCTTGGAGAGTTTTTTGCTGCCCTGATAGGAAACAATACACATATTCATGACTTTTTAATTGGCAAGCAAAGATGGCAGTGACTGTGAACAAAACACACAATGAAAGGAGACAATGAGGGCCAAGAGAGCCCCCACAGAAGACTTTCAGAGTCAGGGAGAGAAATGTACCTAAGTCAGACGAGAATGAGAAAAGGACCCACTGATCTTATTTTTAGCATGGAACTATGTTGTGGCTTCTAGTGCTCTCTTCTCTGCTTAAACCCTGACTGAGGGATTGTGCCTCACCCCTTCTTTCTTTCTTTCTTTTTTTTTTTTTTTTGAGAGGTTTTCACTATAGGGGGCGTGCACTTGCCAGAAAGACAGAGAGAGGGGAACCAGCAGTTAGCATAATGGCTATGTCGCTCGACTCCCACATAGTTGACCACGGTTCGCGGCCCGGACCCGGTGGCTTAAAACTCACACCAGGCGCGTGTGCGTGCGTGCTCAAGATCCCGAGAGGAGAATGGAGGAGAAGGGATTGCGACGTGACCATCCCCCCTGGGGGGTGATTTCTTGCTTTCTGTCTCTATGTCTCTCTCTCTCTGTCTTTCTGGCGAGTGCATGTGCCCTATAGCGAAAACCTCTCCAAAAAAAAAAAAAGAAAGAGAGGCAGAAAGTGAGAAATCATCCCCTGAGGGGATGGCCATGCTGTAATCCCTTCTCATGCACATGCGCCCCGAGTGAGTTTAAGCCACTGGGTCCAGGACTCGAACCGCAGTTGACTACATGGGAGTCCAGCAACATAGCCATTATGCCAATTGCTGGTCCCATGCCTCAACTCTTTCAAGAGATGAGAGGATGGGAAGCATATATTTTCTTAGTGACAGGCAGATGTAAAATTACATGTTCCCTTTGCTCTCTTGGGTGAACACCTGTGCCCTGTTGTAGGTGACAAAAATCCCTGGATCTCTCTCCTGAGCAAGAGAGATGCCTCTGGCTCCTTCAGCTTATTTCCTATTCTAAGAAACTGTTACTAAAGAGTGTTCTTGGAAGTATTGGGCTGTCCCCATGGAATAACCTCCTAAGAGGTTGTGAGAATTACATAAGATCATCCATGTAAAGTGACTGCATTAATGTGCATTACTAGCTGGCACAAAATCCATAATGCTTCCTCAGAATGGAAGGTCTCAGTTACTGTTGCTGCTATCTGTGGAGATTTTATGTCATAGAAAATAACTTCTCCTGAGCCAAGAACAGATACACCAATATGGCTTGTGCCAGCGTCTCTCACACTTTTGTTTGGGTCACACCCTTTCCCAAATGCACACCCACCCCAAAAGTACTCACAGATTTCTTTTCCCCTGTCCTACTAAGTGTTTCCTTTCCTTTGCTTCCAGAATGCCTATGTCAACATCAACCGCATCATGTCTGTGGCTTCACGCCTCTCTGAGGCTGGCCATTATGCCTCACAGCAAATCAAGCAAATTTCCACTCAGCTGGACCAGGAGTGGAAGAGCTTTGCTGCTGCCCTCGATGAACGCAGCACCATCCTTGCCATGTCTGCTGTGTTCCACCAGAAGGCCGAACAGGTGAGACCCAGGGGCCTGCTGTAACTGCGGTGGTGGGAAGGGTGGAGGGACGGGGCAAGGGAAGGCAGCATGGCAGCCTACACATTATCTCTACGAGAGTCACTTCTGATTTTTGAAACACTGGAGACCTTGCTAATAGGTACAACAATAACCCATGTTCTACAACGCTGGCCCCTGTGAACACAGAAACTTTGGTCATGCTGGACAGCTTTACTTACCATACAAACAAGAGCAGACCCAGTGCCTGTTTACATTCTGCTTGGTAGTTTATTGTGGGGGGTGTGTGTCTGTATATGTGTGTGTGTGCTCTTGTGTTTGACTGCCATGGGAAGAAATCATAACTACTTGTTACTTACTAAGCGGCCTATGCTAAGAGGCCGGTGGCATTACTAACCCATTTTAAGGAGAGAATCACTCCAGCTCAGACAGATTAAGTGACCCGCCTAAGATACTGTGCTTTGTTGTAGCCTCGGTTGAACCAGCTCTTGGGGAGCTAGTTGTCAAATTCCAGGGATTTTGTGAGTTGGTTCTTAAACAGGCAGTGCTTAAAACTAAAATATATAAATTTATGAATAAATATATTAAAAACAAAGGTAATAAATGCTCAAAACTCATCACTTACATTTTATTATTAGCTCGGTTCTTGAGGTTATTTTTATCTATTTCTGTGGTGGAAATGCTACACAGTTGTGAGCTACTGATCATCTTCTCCCAACTCCACATTCAGTGATGTCACATTGGTAGCTCAAAATAGACCATGGTAGGAGTTTTACACCATGGTGACCATCAGATGCTACAAGCCGGGCTTGATTTATTGCTTTATTGATGATCTAGAGTTTTGAGAAAATGTTTAAAAATGTAAACTACATTTAAAATGTGTCCTGTCTGTAGCTGTTACTTTGTAAATGGCATACCAAAATTGAGGAAATATCCTTCAAGTAGTCAAAAACTATTATTTGATTTGAGAAAGAAGTCACTCACATCATTGATGAACAAACAATGTTCTGACCCAAGTCTTCAGGTGTTTTTCACTTTTGTGTCACTCCTTCATGTAAGTGAGACAGTCAGCCAGCATTTGTGTTGGAATTATATAAGCCTGTCACTTGCAACTGAAGGTTGACTGGATACAAGAGATCAACAGAAGCATCCTGTGAGAATAAATAGGTCATATGAGATTTACGATAAAGAGCATTGTATACGCTTTGCTTTGTAAATTGTGTTACACATCCTTTATATCAGTAGAATTTGTGATGCACTTCCATGTCCATATGTACTACACACATACACACTCAGTAGAGGGCCTTGAAAAAGTTCATGGAAAATGTGCATTATGAAAAACCTATATGTAGATTTCAAAATTTTTTGTACCAAAATAAACTCATACTTTAATTCCATTTTCCACAAATGATTTGGAGTCCCTTTGTGTATTCTTGCATGTGCATATGCATGCACACATGCTGATCATTAAGCATTTACTAACATTGAGAAAATCACAATCTGAAGGCAGTTGGGGTTTCCACCCAGGTGTGTCTAACATTAAAGCCTGTGGTCTTATCCTCTATATTTTACTTTGTATCACATTCAGTAACTAAAAGTAAAGGAGAGTCAGGCACATGATCATACCTTAAATTTCTCTCTCTCTGTTACCTGCTCTAATATGGAAGGGGACATGAAGTAACTGAAAGACACATGTGACCAGACACCTGAGTTCAAATCCCAGCACTATCATTCATTAACTTCTTGGATAAGTTATCTCACCACCTTGAGCTTGTTTCTTTATCTCTAATGAGAGTCTAATCATAAATCTCACAGGGCTGTTATAAGATATAACATTAGAAGAGCAGATGGTGGTACAGAGATGGAACATGACACCCTGCAAGGCTGACCCACATGGGACATGTCTTGGTTCACTTCCAGAGACCTCCCTGAGTATGCGGGGCGTACATACGCTGAAGGTCCAGGGCATGCTGGAGGTGGATCATGGCATTGAGACCCTGTTAGAGGTGCTGGCACTCTCTTTCTCTCTCATGGAAGAAATAGATTAAATAAACAAACAAATGAACAGTCGAGTTGGAAAGTGTAAGGTGCTCAGTGTGCTTACTAAACGGAAAAGATTGCCACTACAGGCATTTGTTCAGCATACTATCCTAGTGTATTTTTATTTCCATCACTTGAGTCTATTTCTATAATACCTGGGAATTTACCAAAGACTGGAATAAATACTTGTGTCACCAGTCAAGTCAAGCACAGCCCTATACTTTGAGAAGGATCTATCTACACACACACACACACACACACACACACACACACATACGTGTGTGTGTGTGTATATATATATATAGTTTAGTTAGCTTTGCAGAGGACGGTGGCAGTGACTGGTAGTGACTGGTTCACTTACTTGTTCTCTCTTCAACTCCATCACTTACATACTGTATACAAGCTTAACTATTAGGTTATCAGAAAAGTCATAAGGCAGTTTTCTATGTTTTTCTATACATGTATCATGACTTTCCTGACAACCCAGTAAATTGACAAGGTAGAATCAGTGCTTTTCTGTTTATCTATTTGGCCTTCTCTCCTTGAGCTGACTATTTTGCAGAATTTGCTGTAGGACTTCTAAAAGAGCATTACAGAGAAATCCTAAGGTCTATGAAGAGATATTCCCTCTTGCAAATGATACAAGAATGTCAAGTTGCTTTCAGGTCCCTCTGCAAAGTAGTTATTGGTGGAGCAAAGAGATGTCAGCAAGTATATGCAATCTGATACTGGATGTTACCTGGCACTCTTCCAGAATTGCTGAGATGAACTAATGTGCTAAAAATCACACAGAATGAAAAATCAACCATGACAGCCAACAGACTAGGGGCTGAGAGCTGACAGTGACACCAAGACAAGATCTCAAGGAGTTGCAGAGGAAAATGCCATGCCAGAATTGAGAGAAACTAGAGGAGCTAGCTTGTATTTAGTGTTTCCTGGCTTGGATTTATTGGAATCAGAAGCGATCTTATTTGTATCTATTTTTTAATGCAGTTTCCTAAGGTATTACCAGTCCTTCATGGAAACTCATAAACCATGCTTCTTTTTAGCCAGAGTGGGAGAGTGGCTCAGGGCTCTTTTTTTTTTCTTCTACATGTTTATTTAGGCAGCTCTTTATTGTCCTCATATGGGTTGTTCTGGGCAATGGGATAAAAAGGTATTTAGGCAATTAATTTAAATGGAGGTGTGCACCCAGGCGAGAGGAATCGTAGACCCATTCCAGACTGTTAGGTGAAGAATTATTTGCATTTTAAAGATGTATTTTTCCACCCAATAAATCTGAGTGATTTCAGATAGTTCACCCTTTGTGCATGGAGACCTATAGTCTTCCACAGTTGTTAATTTTAATTTTTAAATAATTTGATGTCTGTCAAGATCTGTATCCACATATCACATCCTAGGAGTCACTGCCACTGTAGAACAGTACAGTCTGCCCCTGTGCCTCTGTGCTGCCCTCCCCTCTCACTCCTGAGAACTGATCAGCTGCGGCATCCCTGCTGAGCGTCCACCTCTGTCCCCTGTGTGAGTGGTTTATGCATGTTCCCTGTTCCCTGGGGCTCCGGGTAGTCCTGTATGAGCTGCTCTTTGCTCTTCGCTCTTCTTCACAACACAGTGTCCACACTGGGGCTTCCCAGGTGTCACATCACATCACACACATGCAGCTGTGAGTATGCGCAGGGCAAGGAGACCAAAGTACCTGTGGAACCTGGTGAGCTGTTCCCACACCTGCACTTTATGGTCTGTACGGATATAAGTTATTGAACATGCAGATGGCTCACCCTGCTCCCCACAGTTTTCTAATAGTCCTCTGTGTGGGAAATACCCTTCCTCAGTGGGTGCCTGGAACTGCCTTCTTACTAGGGCTTAGTGTTTGAAGAACTAAAAAAATAAATAAATAAAAATAAGTAAAATCTCTGCAGTAGTCTCTGCAGGTCTCCAGAAGTCCTTGTGCTTCTTCCCGAAGTATCCAACGCTCTCTGTATAACTTGCCACTCCCCAGCCCCCTGCTCCCACGCTGACCCACTCTGCATCTCCTTCCAGTTCCTGTCGGGAGTGGACGCCTGGTGCAAGATGTGCAGCGAGGGTGGCCTGCCATCCGAGATGCAGGACCTGGAGCTGGCGATCCACCATCACCAGTCCTTGTACGAGCAGGTGACCCAGGCCTACACGGAGGTGAGAACCAAGCAGGACAGATAGGGGTCCTGGGCATGTCTACATATGGGTGGGTGGGGAAAGCACCGGCCTCTAAACTGTGCAGTAGCCTGGGTTTGATTAAGAAGAAAAGTGGTTTGTCTTCCTTTGGAAACATCTTTAGGAATCTGGATATATGGATTATGGTGTCTGCGGCCAGGAAGCAGAGATGCTGGGGCTGTTCGCAGGTACCACTCTGGTACATACACACATTCTCTGTCCTCTCTCTGTTACACACACACACCTACACACTTGTCTGTACCCTGGGTGTGAAGATTGGGCTTTCTCCTCTGGGATGAGGAATGTCAGGAAGCAACACTGTGCTCCTTCGGAGTTTGCGTTCTAGTTGGTGAATGAACATGTATACCCCTTTTATGAAGCAGCTCATCAAAAATTACTAACTTTCTCCCTAGAAAATCCAGAGGAAAACACATGGAGGAGAGATCAGTGTGTAGGGCTAAGAAGACGCTGTGGATGTGAAGGACACATTTAAAAAGTTATTCCACTGAAAACTCAAAAGCAGGGAGGATATTACAAGGTTAGGAAGGGGTAAAACCTCTGGGGCATGGTGGCTAAGGCACTGGACTCCTACAGGACTGAGTGCAGTTCGAGTCCTGGACCCAGATGCTTGAAAATCACACCTGGTGCGTGTGTGCATATGCCTGAAGTCCCTGGAGGAGAATGGAGGAGTAGGAATATTGCAGTTGTGGCCATATCCCCAGGGGGCGAGTTCTCACTTTCCCTCTCTCTGTATCTCTTTGTCTCTCTCCAGTGAGTGCACATGCCCTATGTCAAAAAAAAAAAAAAATCTTAGAGGGCATAGAACCTCTTGACATTCCTTTCAAAGTAAAAGGAAAGGACCATATATATGGGACCTTCACAAAGTTCATGGAAAATGAATACGACTCAAAAATCATTTTTGGATTTCAAAATATTTTTGCAGGAAAATAAATGTGTACTTTAATTCCGTTTTTCCAGAAGCTTATTGAAGTCCCCTTGTAGGTTCATCTGAGTGAACACAGTTAAATGGGTTTGCTAAGTGGAGTGAATTTTGACTGAAGAGACCACCTGATTAAGAAAGGTGGAGGAGGGCTGGCCTCGTAGCCTAGTGTTTAAGGGAACCAATGCCATATGGCTAAGCATGGTTCAAATCCCCACCTCTGTGGCTTGCAAAAATTATGGTAGGCCCACATGCATGCTCGCCCAAATTCCTGACAAGATGAAGAAGTGGAGAAGATGGGACTATGGCATGATAGTACCCCATTTGGGGGTGCTTTTTCCCTTTCTCTCTCTGCTTGTCTGTCTCTCTCTGGCAAGCACATGTGTCCTCTGACAATTAAGCAAAAGAAAGAAGGAAAACTGGTAGAGGAGGGGAAAGTGAATTCATATCCGGCCCACGTGTTTCTTCTGGGGCAAGATCAGTTAGAGAAGTATTTGCTGAAGTGGGTTCCCAGACCACCTGCCTCAGACTTGCCTAAGCTGCTGATTAAAGGTGCAGATTTCTGAGTTTCACCCCAGATTGAACCAGAATGCCTAGAAGTGGGGCCTAGAATCTATATTTTAATAATTAACACCATGAGCAAGTTTGATATACATTGAAGTCTAAGAACCAATGACTTCTGAGTAAGAGTAAGGATTTTTGCCACAGTCTAAACTAAGTTTGAGGGCCAGCAGGTGGCCTGGTGGTTAAGGTGCTGGTTCCCACATGAGTAACTCTGTGGTTTGAGTCCAAGACCCAGCAGTTTGAAAAACACACTGGACACGTGTGTGTGTGTGTGCATGCCCATAATCCCTAGAGGATAATGAAAGAGAAGAGGTTGGGACGTGTCTATTCCCCCATGAGGAGTCATTTCTTACTTTCTCTTTGACTCTGTCTCTGGTGAGTGCATGCACCCTTATGACAAAAAACTCAGAAACAAAAACCAAAAATCTGAGTTTAAACCCTGGTTTCCCTATTTATCAGTTGTGTGATCTCAAGCAAATTATTTAGCCACTTTAGGCCTCAGTATCTTCTGTGAAGTGAAGGTGGTAGCATCTGCCTTAAAAGGTAATTTTAAGGGTTATAAAGATAACATATTAAGGGATCAGCAGTTAGCGTAATGGCTACGTCGCTGGACTCCCATGTAGTTGACCACGGTTCGAGTCCCAGACCCGGCGGTTTAAACTCATGCTGGGCGCGTGTGCATGTGTTCCCAAGATCCCAAGAGGAGAATGGAGAAGGGATTGCAACATGGCCATCCCCCCTGGGGGGTGATTTCTCTCTTTCTGTCTCTCTCTCTCTCTCTGGTGAGTGCATGCGCCCTATAGCAAAAACCTCT